CTATTTTCTCTACTACAGAAAACAGTATTAACATGGGGGAGGGGAGGTCACGAGCTCAGGTTTACTAAGCAAGGAAAACTGGAAGTTGAGGATAATACATTGGCTTGTAAGTATTCTTTCTTTCTTTCTTTTTTTTTTTTTTAGAGACTATTGTGCAGGTTCCTGTGAAAACATCTCTGGGGTCTGAGTGGCAATCTGGCAATTTTTCTCCACAGAACCCTTGGCTTTATTTTCAGCAGCTCAGCCTTGAAGACACACACAGAGGTCTTTGTTACACAGTGTGGGGTGGGATAGTGAAGAAATGAACATCAATCCTGAGAAATAACTTCATCAGGCATAATCTAATAAACATTAAACACTAGCCCATTTCATAATTAACAGGTGTTAGCCCCATTTCAGAGCCCTGGAAAGGACAAGGACACAAAAGGAGGGGATGTAAGGCTATAACATAAGTTTGTCTGGCTTTACCTACTTTTCTGTCTTAAAATATGTCTTTAGCCTCAAAGCTCTTTAAAACCCTATCATTCATTTTCTCAGAGCCACAATGTAATGTGGCTCTAATAAGGGATAAGATCTCTTATCTAGGCTCGGCGCCTATAGCTCAACTGGCTAAGGCGCCAGCCACGTACACCTAAGGTGGCAGGTTCGAATCCCCAGCCCGGACCCGCCAAACAACAATGACGGCTGCAACCAAAAAATAGCCAGGCGTTGTGGCGGGCGCCTGTGGTCCCAGCTACTTGGGAGGCGGAGGCAAGAGACTCGCTTGAGCCCAGGAGTTGGAGGTTGCTGTGAGCTGTAATGCCATGGCACTCTACCCAGGGGGACAGCTTGAGGCTCTGACTCAAAAAAAAAAAAAAAAAAAAAAGATCTCTTATCTAGGGTGGATAAGGCAGTTGGGTATGCCTGCCTGGGGAAGGAGAAGTTAGACCACTGTTGTTGTAACTGCCACTGCCTTTTCTCTTTCCTATACCAACATGGGAGGCCACTGGAACTATAAAATTTGCCTTATTTCCTTCCCGGGAGGTAGATCTTCAGAAACTGAGCTCTATGAGGGTATAGGCAGGCTTTGGTTTACCCACCCAGGCATACAGACACCACATGCAGCACAGTAGTTGGCACTTTATCAACATATTTTTATTAAATGAACAATGTTATCACCTAAAAGAAACAGCAGAAAGGCACCCATCTAGCCTGCATATAGACAATGTTTAACACAAGTTTGATAACTCTGAACAGGTAATCCACAGCTACATATGTTACATCACTTCACTCTCAGCCCATATCTTTTTTTTTTTTGAGACAGAGCCTCAAGCTGTCCACCTGGGTAGAGTGCCATGGCATCACAGCTCACAGCAACCTCCAACTCCTGAGCTCAAACGAGTCTCCTGCTTCCGCCTCCCAAGTAGCTGGGACCACAGGCGCCCGCCACAATGCCTGGCTATTTTTTTTTTCTTGGTTGCAGCCATCATTGTTGTTTGGTGGGCCCAGGCTGGATTCGAACCCGCCACCTTAGGTGTACATGGCTGGCACCTTAGCCACTTGAGCAATAGGCGCCGAGCCTCAGCCCATATCTCCTAATGGTTATAAATATGATATTGAAAATGAAACATAAAACAGAAAATATAGAAAGATCTGAAGGGAATTCTGACAATGAAATCTACTTTTTTTTCTTTTTTTTTTAAGAGATAGTCTCACTTTGTCACCCTTGGTAGAGCGCCATGACGTCACAGCTCATAGCAACCTCCAGCTCCTGGGCTTAGGCAATTCTTTTGTCTTAGCCTCCCAAGTAGCTGGGACTATAGCACTGCCCAGCTATTTTTTGTCCCAGGTTCAACCCACCACCCTCGGGATATGGGGCTGTGCCCTACTCACTGAGCCACAGGTGCCACCCTGACAATGAAATCTAAAGAGAATCCCTGCTGATTGTGCTTAGTAACCTATAAGACTTGTGCCAGGAGTCCTGCCAAACTAAAATAGCAACAACTGAATTTCCTCATTTGACTAAAAAGAAAGACCACGGAACTTACTGCATCATATCTCACAGCAACAGCAACCTTAAACTTCTGGGTTCAAGTGATCCTCCTGCCTCAGCCTCTAGAGTAGCTAAGACTATAGGCCATCACCACAATGCTCAGCTAGTTTTTCTATTTTTAGTAGAGACAGGGTCCCGTTCTTGCTTGTGTTGGTCTTGACCTCCTGAGCTCAGGCAATCCACCCACCTCAGTCTCCCAGAGTGCTAGGATTACAGGTGTGAGTTAACATGCCTGGCCATAGACATCTTTTTGTAATATAAAAAGCTCTTTCAATATAAAGGTCAAGAAAAGATGCTCATTACAAAATAATACATAGTTTGATTTTGTTTTTTGCTTTAAAATATTTTAGCATATGCATAGAAAATGCCTGTAAGAACATAATCTAAACTGTTAATAGTCATTAACTCTTGGGGATTAACTTATGATGAAATTATGGGGAAGTTTGCTCTCTCTTTAGATTATGAGGAGAGTACTTTCTATAATCCGTATTTTTTTAACATTTGGATTTGTTTTAAAAATTAACATGTATTACCTTTTAAAGAGAAAAAAATGTAAAATAAAATGAAACTGAAATAATTTTTGTCTGCTAAAAATACCTTTATCAGGCTCGGTGCCTATAGCTCAACCGGCTAAGGCGCCAGCCACGTACACCTAAGGTGGCAGGTTTGAATCCCCAGCCCGGACCCGCCAAAACGACGACGGTTGCAACCAAAAAATAGCCGGGCGTTGTGGCGGGTGCCTGCAGTCCTAGCTACTTGGGAGGCAGAGGCAGGAGACTCGCTTGAGCCCAGGAGTTGGAGGTTGCTGTGAGCTGTAATGCCATGGCACTCTACCCAGGGGGACA